AGATATTAACCCAAACATATAAAGTCAATTAGTATATGATAAAGGAGCCATGGATATACAAAGGGGAAATGACAGCCTCTTCAATAGTTATTGCTGGCAAAACTGGACAGCTACATGTAAGAGAATGAAACTGGATCATTGTCCAACCCCATACTCAAAAGTAAACTCAAAATGGATCAAAGACCTGAATGTAAGTCATGAAACCATAAAACTCTTAGAAAAAAGCATAGGCAAAAATCTCTTGGACATGAACATGAACAACTTCTTCATGAACATATATCCCTGGGTAAGGGAAACAAAAGCAAAAATGAACAAGTGGGACTGTATCAAGCTGGAAAGCTTCTGTACAGCAAAGGACACCATCAACAGAACAAAAAGGTATCCTACAGTATGGGAGAATATATTCATAAATGACAGATCCGATAAAGGATTGACATCCAAAATACATAAAGAGTTCACACACCTCAACAAACAAAAGGCAAATAATCAAATTAACAAATGGGCAGAGGATCTGAACAGACATTTCCACAAAGCAGAAATTTTAATGGCCAACAGGCACATGAAAAGATGCTCCACATCGCTAATCATCAGAGAAATGCAAATTAAAACCACAATGAAATATCACCTCACAGCAGTAAGGATCACCACCATCCAAAAGACAAACAACAACAAATGTTGGCGAGATTGTGAAGAAAACAGAACCCTCCTACACTGCTGGTGAGAATGTAAATTAGCTCAACCATTGTGGAAAGCAGTATGGAGGTTCCTCAAAAAACTAAAAATAGAAATACCACTTGACCCAGGAATTCCACTCCTATGAATTTACCCTAAGAATACAACATTCCAGTTTGAAAAAGACATATGCACCCCTATGTTTATCGCAGCACTATTTACAATAGCCAAGAAATGGAAGTAGCCTAAGTGTCCATCAATAGATGAATGGATAAAGAAGATGTGATACATATACACAATGGAATATTATTCAGCCATAAGAAGAAAACAAATCCTACCATTTGCAAGAACATGGATGGATCTAGAAGGTATTATGCTCAGTGAAATAAGCCAGGTGGAAAAAGACAAGTTTCAAATGATTTCACTCATCTGTGGAGTATAAGAACAAAGAAAAAAACTGAAGGAACAAAACATCAGCAGACTCACAGAACCCAAGAATGGACTAACAGTTACCAAAGGGAAAGGGACTGGGGAGGTTGGGTGGGAAGGGAGAGACAAGGGGGAAAAAAGGGTATTATGCTTAGCAGACATAATGTAGGTGTGGGGCATGGGGAGCTCTGTACAACACAGAGAAGACAAGTAATGATTCTATAGCATCTTATTACACTGATGGACAGTGACTGTAATGGAGTATGTTGGGGGGACTTGGTGATGGGGGGAATCTAGTAACCACAATGTTGCTCATGTAATTGTAGATTAATGATACCAAAAATAAAAATAAAAAATAAGATTGGACATTAAAGGAAAATTGGGGAAAGCAACAAAAAGAGGAAAGCATTAAGATGAGTATGAGAAACAACTGATCCCCCATTAGTGGGTGAGGAATGTGGCAGCCAAGCAGGGCCAGGAGCCAGGGCCTGGGAGGTGACACTGTGACTTTGAAAGCGGGTCCCCACCAATCCAGAGCAAGGTTCCATGCAGCTTGGGGTGTGGTGTGGAGGTGGGATCAGTAGGGGAGGGTGACAGGGAGTCCTGGGGCTGTCACAGTGCTCAGCACTGTCATCCCCTTACACTCTGCCCTGGAGTCCTGGACTGACGTGGCTAATCCTGGCTTCTGTTTCTCTGGTGGTAACATCTGTCTCTCTCCCCTGAGGAGTCTGAGCACTGGTGGGTGGGGGGTGTGGTAGGGACCCCAGGGGAATAGAACCTGGGCAGAAATACTCCAAGAGGCTCACCTGTAGGGAGTGCAGGAGAGGAGAGGACTTTCTGGTGATCCTTTCCCAGCTCTTGGAGTCCCCTCCCTCCATGGTCTCACTGTGTTTGTGGACTGCCAGGCACTCCTGCGGATATGGTGGCATTCGGATGGCAAGAATCTCCATGGCAACATCCTCAGCAGAACCTGAGTTCTACAGGACATTGGGAAATAGGATGGCAGAGAGCAGATGCTGACTGCTTGTCCTTCTAAGGGTCAATATGGGATGTATAAAGCGGGCCTCTGCCAAGTCAACTCCTCTGTTATTGGCAAAGGCAGGGCAGGCAACCCTCTCCTTCCCTCAATGGTGCCCTTAATTCCAGATACTCCAGCAAGCCACCTCACCTGGTAATTTCAAAGGTGTTCTCAAATACTCGGCATCAAAATGGGCTGCAGGCTGCAGAAGAGCCACCATGATCTTCTCAAGGTTGCCAGAGAGTGCTGCCTGCAGGGACTTCAGCAGGTCCTACAATAAATGGTCCTTAGTGCAGAGGCATGAAGGTCTCACACATGTGGAGAGGTTGGGGTACTTGGTTGGGTTTCATCTCAGGCTTGAAGCATCTGTTTAGCCAGGGGCTGGTCTCATCTGCTGCTGCCGTGCCCTGAATTTTCCAGGGAGCTTCTTACTCAAGTCTGTCACTTCTAGGAAGTCAGAACAGTCTCACCTCTTGGGTGCACCCCTGGAAGGCTTGAGAGAGAAGCTGCCTTTGCTCTCTGCTCCGACTGCTCAGCACACCCACAATGGCTTTGTGGTTCCCCTGAACCAAGACATTCTGGGCTTTCAGCTGAGCAGAGCCTAAGCAGGGTCTTCACGGAGTTGGGGTCCCCTTACGCGTTGGACTTAGAGCCTCCAGAGGAGGACAGAACAAGATCTAAGAAAGAACTGGGAAGGACAGGAACAAGTGCCACATCAATTCCACTTGCATTTGGTCTCAGGAGAAGATGCAAATTAGATGCCAAATGGTGTGCAAATCTGACCTAAATTTAGGTAAAGGTGTTGTGGGGGAGAAATGGCCTTTTTGGGATCACAGACATGGACTAGAATCCCAGCTTTGTCATTATGAGCTATGTGACTTCAGGCAAGTCTCTTGATCTCCCTGAGCCCTAGTTTTCTCGTCTGTAAAGTGGAAATACTAGGACCTACCTTACAGGGGTGTTATGGGAATGGCTGTGACACACCTGCCCTTGCACTTGACACTCAGGAATTAAGTCATTCCACAAACATTTATTAAGTGTCATCAGCTCCTCCTTCCTGGCTCCTTCTTGGTCTACAGACTGGTTTCTAAAAGATTTCTAAAAGGTCCCCAAGTGCAGAGGGAAAGGGGCTCACCTTGGCCTGCAATGGCCTTCAGCAGCCTCTGCATGTTCTTGTCCACACTGAAGCTCAAGAAGGTCTGGCGGGTGCCCAGCATCCCTCAAGCTGCAGTCTAGAGAGCACAGGGGTAGGGGGTACTTTGCAGGTCTGCCCATGGTTTTCCCCAATGTTCAAGCCTGGCGCTTGGCATGACTTCAGGGCCTGCTCTCACAGCCCCTGGGTTGATGGAGTAAAAATGATTTCTACAGCCCAGCAGCTCCTACCTTGTCGGCAATGCCCAGGTGGCTGGGGGTCTCCTGGGTTCTGGATGGTCTCATCTTCCTGCTGGTCACAGACATGGCTGCCCTGGGAAGGGAGACAGGAGTCAACTGAGGAGAACTTCCTGGCCCTCCTGGGCCTCTTTATGACCCCAAGACCCTGGAGCCTAGGCTCCTATTGCCAGTTCACTTCTTTGTTGCAGAAATAGAACATCAACCTGCTTGGGAGTCCCCACCTTCCCTCCCTCTCACCCCTTCTTCAGGAAACAAGGATTGATCAGGACTGCTGCTGGAACTAGCACCAAACGCGCTCTCCCTGACACCAGGGTTGGTCTCAAGGCTCCCCAACTCTTGGTTTAAGGTGGATGGGCCCCTTCTGAGCTCAAAATTCCTTCCTTTCATGGCCTGGCTGGGTGTCCCTGGGCCAGTGTAGGGGAAGTGAGGCTAGGTGGCAGGATTCAGTAATTCAGTATGTGTGCTGGGAGATAACTCCTACTGACACCTTTCCCTACCTTCAGCCCCAGCCTCCACACAAGCCCTTGCCCCCTGCCCACGAAGATGCCTACCTGCTGTCTGCCTTTTACCCTCAGAGTCTCCCCTGGGATCTTTAAGTCAGCAGGTACACTCAGTTGATGTATGTGTTCTTGCGGGGACATGGATGTCTAGACAAGGGAGCAGGCACCCATGTTAGAACAGGAAAACTCCTTTCTTGCTTCCCCCAATGGATTGACAAGATCTCTCAAGCTCCAGCATGAGGGCCCAGATCCAGTGCTTATCTAGAGGTGAGGTGGGTGTTGTCCAGCCTAGAGGTGTGCCTGTGTGGGCGCCAGCTCCTCTATAGCCCTGAGAGGAGAGGGGGACCCGTGTGCAGCCTGGGCTGAACACCCAGTCAGATGATTTTGCTGGTAGACCTGTCTGGGCTCTGGCCCCTCCCAGATGTGGGAGAGGACCAGGCTGTACCTGGTTGCACATGCAAACACCTCCCTACCAAGCATTTCTCTTCCCAGGAGCTGGGCCTCAACCCGTGCAAGAGAACTGCACTCGCCTTCTCAGCAGCCTGGCCCTGGACCCCTGGAGGCCTTGTGCACTGCTTTCCCTGTGGGGCCAGGTGGGATCAGAGAAGCCCAGTCTCTAAGTCCAGCTTCTGGCCAGGCTCTGCCTCTGGCTCCAACTTCCTGGAGGTGCGGGGTAGTGGTGGTGGCAGGTCATACAGGCTCCAGGCTAATTTTGAGGTTGACAAACCTGTGTGGCACATACCAGCGGGGCACCCCAGCCTGCACCCCATGGAGGCCCCAATGCTGAAATTCCCTTGACTACTGTCTTATTAGAGCCAGCCAGCCCTGGTACGGAGGGCAAAGGGACGGTTTGTATCTGTTAGGAAGAAAAAGCACAGGTATTTGGGGTGGGAGCAGATCAATGGAGTCAAGAGAGAAAAATGTAAAGGGTGTTTTCTGTGGACAGAAGCACCACACTCCCAAAAAGCAACAGCGAGGTGGGGGAGGCTCCCTGGGCCCTGGTGTTTTAGATTCCTTCTGTTGCCTTTTGGCTGCCAGGCTGTTTTAGCTGTGGGTGATGCAACCTCAGCAGCTGGGCTTGAGGCTACCGGTGTGCAGAGCAGCAGGTAAACAGTCCTGAGGAGCCTCAGGTGCTCCTGAGCAGGCTGTTATAGGAGCCTCATAGCTGCTCCCTAGGGTCTAATAGCAGTCTCCTTCCTGCCTCCCTAGAGAGGTCAGGCAGGACTGAGCATAAACCTTAGAGAGCTGTGTCCACTCCCTTGCCTCTCCCAAACTGGAAAGACCCTCACTGGTTTTCATATATTTCTGAATAGCAGACCAGGTCCAAGATGTCACAAAGGGAGATTTCCATGTGACAGTCACTGCTATTCACTTGTCTCTCCTGTTACAATGGAAACCGTGCATTGGTTTTTGTTGGAGAACAAAACACACACCAGCTTTGCTGGAGGACGTGGGCTCAATCCCAGCTCTGCCACTTGTCATGTTTTGTAACTTCAGGTAGCCATTTCAGGTCTCTGTGTCTCTGTTTCTTTACCTGGAAAAAAAAAAAAGTGAAATATTGGGAAAGCCTGAAGTGGGGTGGGGACCACGCTGGAGCACCTGAGGGTAGGCTTCCTGGGAGATCAAATTAGGTAACATATGTGATGGCATTTGGCAAAGAAAAGTGCCTTGTAAATTTGGGTTGCCAGATTTAGTAAATAAAAATACTGGACACCTGTTAAATTAGAACTTCAGATAAGCAACAAATAATTTGTTGGTATTAAGTATGAACCAAATATTTCATGGGATATATTTAGGCTAACAAATTATTAGTTGTTTATCTGAAATTGTAATCTGAGCATTGTATATTTTACCTAGTAACCATGGAAATGGGACTGTTTCAGCATGGTAATTAAAAGCAAAAGTCCTGGAGCAAGATTCCTCAAACTTAGAATTCTGATCTGCTGTGTGACCTTGGCAGCTACCTTAACCTTTTTGTGCTCATGGTTAAAGCAGAGATAACAAGTGTTTATATTACAGGCTATTGTGAGAAATCAAGTAATATATGCAAACCATTTTAGGAGTGTTAGATACAGAGTGGTAAGTGAACAGGTCAAAATGTTAACTATTGTTATAATGTTATTTTATAATGGTAACTGTTATTACAGGTGACTTGTCTCCCCTAAGGAGTCCAGTCCAATCTTGGCTCTCCTCTGCAACTTCCTTCTAGCCAATGACCAATATTGCCACAAGAGGGCATCAGAACCCATTGAGAGCTCTGAGCCCCCTCATGCCCACTTAAGGTCTCTCAGGCTCTGGTTCCACCCAGAGACAGCTGTCCACTTGCTGAAAAATGCAGTTTGCTGAGGGCATCAGGTTCCTAGGTTGACCTGGTGGGCAGGCAGGGTCAGGGGAAAAGCCTTAAGTAGACATGTATTCAAGGGACCCCTCTGGGACAGACCTCAGGACACCTGCAGGAGACTTCCTAGGCTGGGCTGTTGCAATACAGTGGCTCCACATCCAGGGTCCCCACACCTTCGCCTTCTGTACAATTCAGAGTATCTTTTGGGTGCATGTTCCAAGTAGGCCTAGGAAGAAATGAAGGGGGTTTCCCCAGCCCAAGTCTCTGCAAGGGACTATGGCTGATCTGTGAGGCTGAATTGGGAGAAGGCAGCAGAATCCCAGGCACCCAGCAGGAGAGTAGTCCTTGTGGCCTGGGAGCCTGAGGACTGTGATGCATTTACAATTGCTCCACTAAAGCTCAGTGGAATTTCATCTCTTTTGTCCCGGGGTTTTGTTTTGTTCCACTCCAGAATCAGATTGAGGCTGTTTCCAGATTTTACTAGTCACCCTTCACCCCCATGCTCTAAAATTTAAAATTTCAGAGTTGGAGATCTTAGAGATGACCCAGTCTACTACCCCTCTTGTTACTGACTCAAGGAGACTGAATGACATCTCAAAGCTGTGTTTTGGAATCAGAATCCAGTGTTTTTTTCCTTCATCACTCAGATGAAGGCATGGCTGATTTGGAGTCCTTCTTCGTGGAATAAAGGGGAACCAGCAGTAATATATAGAGCCTCAGCTGTTGACTCATGAATACTTGTTCAGCTCTAATTACACATTGCTTTTCTGCGAAGACTTTACATTGCATCATTTCAGAATGTATAGAAACTCCTCCTGGTTATTTTTCTTGTTATGAAACTTTTTCTCCCCAGAACTGATTGATACCTGGATCCGTCCGTTCATGTATTAGCCAGGCTCTACTCCTTTACCCAAACAGGCCTCTGAGTTGCACAAGCCAGCCTGACCTAGAAAGCCTGACCACTTTCCACAGTGGGGGTCCATGTCTTTGCCTGTCCCAGAAGCCTGCCCAGATACCTAAATGCTAGGCTGCAGGCCTGGTGATGTCCTCTCCCTCTGGACACCTCAGAGGCCCATGTAGAGGAAGTGGGTCACAGTAAAGCAGGCAGTTTTGTTAACAGTTTGGGGCACTGTGGGCATGGCCATGCCAGCCTAGCATGGTGGGGGATGGGTTAGAAGGGCAGTGACTAAAATCTCCTGTTCTAGCCTAGGAGTGTGTGTGTCCTATGTATGTTGACAGAACGGGTAGCATCATTCTAATGCTGCCCAGGGCCCAGTTTCCCCTTCTCCATTGTCTCTTGGGGTAGGGTACACCCTCTATCTTCTTTTTCAGGCCTTGACTATATAGCTTCTGCCCCAAAACTTCCTTTCCCCACTGCTATCTTTAAAAAAAGCTAACTGTCTTCAGTTCTCTGAGTAATCATTTAAAAAGTCTGGTGGGGACCATGGGAAAGCCTGGCACCTAGGAAAACTGCTTGAAAAAAGGATTCAGAAGTTAAAAGAGGTATGGGGAGCTGTTAGAAAGGGGCCCTAGTAGAAAAGAGGTGTGGGGAGCAGTTAAAGGGAGCCCAAAGAGGAGACACAGGAGTCTGCTGGAAATGAGTGGGTGGGTGTCTAGCAGACGAGGAAACTGGGAAGGGCATTCCAGAGAGGCAGAGGGAACTTTGAATTGGAAGGCTGAAGGAAGGAGAGTTATGAAGGAGTAGAAAGATAGAAGCTATGCTAACATGGGAGGAGGTCAGCCTGCGGCAAAGGAAAACGGCTGGATAGGTTTCTGTAACAGAAAACCAGGCAGGTCTGGAGCTAAAAAAGGGTGAGGAGTCTCTTGGTGGCTGGTTCCAGTGAGATGGCCAACAAGGTTCATTTCTCCAGTGGCAGGCCTGCGCACGGAGTCCAACTGCAAAAGGCAAACAAACAGTTTGGAAACCAGTCAGCTTCTGTCTCTCTGCCTCCCAGGAAAGAATCTTACCTAGGTGAATACCAAACTCTCAAATTGGATTAGTGGGACGTCAACCCTTCTTCCTAAGAGAACTATCAAAGCACCTGAACTTGACTAGGTAAGTCACGAAAAAGCTGCTGTCAGAGGTTTTGTGACCATATAAAAATGCCAACATTTCTTCAAGGTAAAAAATCAAGTTACCTCTACGTGGAGTAAGCTGTAGCTCTCTCCAAACAAACCCTCAAACACATCGCAGTCAACCTCTGTCCATTCTAGAAGTCAAGGCCGGTTTTCTGGATAAACATGTTGCATCTTCCTAAAACACCAGTTTTACCAGACTAAGGGAAAATGTTTCTAAAATATGAATTTGGATACGAATAAACGTGGTATAGATTGAAAACTCAAATACATTTTACAAAAGTTGGGGGATGGCAATTTCAGCCCACTACAGTATGGCGCGTGCGCCATCGTGGCTCGGTTCTGCAGCGCTCCACTGTGAGCGCTGCGGGTTTTACGGCGGGGGCCGAGGTGGGGCCGCCCCGGGGCCGCCGGCTCTGCGCTGGGGGTCTGTCGCGTACCTACGGGCCCGCTACCCCGGGCGGCCCTCAGCCTCAGCGCGCGGCCCCCGTGACCGGCTCCCCGGGGCTGCGCCAGGCCGCCCGCCTCCCACCGCCGCCCCGTGGGGCTGGACGTGAGGGCTGCGGCTGTGGGTCGGGCCGAGAGAACGGGGCGCCGCGGACGGGCTGAGGTTGCGGGCCGGGGGGGCGCAGGGTTTTGTCTCGGCGCCTCTCACGGAGCGACCAGTGGCCGGAGGGGCCTACACCGCCTTCCCCCGGCGGCACTCCTCTCCGGGGCCGCGGTTGGAGCAGGCGCGGCCGCGGGGCCCCGACTCCGAGGCCCGGCCCGCCGCCCTCCCGCCGCCGGCCGCGGGCCCACGCCCATCCCCGGCTCCTGTGGCGCCCGCGGCCTTTCTCTCCCGGGCTGGGCTCAGCGGGCGGCGGGAGGAGGAGGCCGGGGGGAGGAGGGAGCGGGCCGGCGGGCGGGCGGAAGGGGGAGGAGAGGCGCGGGCCGAGCCAGTCCGGAGGGGCCCCGGAGCGCGGACGAGGGCACACGGAGCAGCGGCTCCCGGCCCGGCCAGCTCCGCGACGCCGCCGCCGCCGAGTGAGTGCAGACCCCAGTTCGGGAGCGGCGCGCGGGGGTGGGGCGGGGAGCGGCCGCGGAAAAGTTGGGAGAACTGGGGGCCGCCCCGGCGCGCCTCTGCGGAGGGGTCCCCGGCCGGGGAGGGCTGCTGGGAAAGGATGGGGGTCCCGGGCGCAAGCGCGGGGCGGTGGAGAGGGGGCGGCAGGAGGCGGCGCGGGAGCCTCCGGCCGAGCGCTCATGGCGGCGGTCCTGGCGGAGGGCGGGCTGGAGCGCCTCGCGGGAGCGGCCGGGCCCCCAGCGCAGCCGAGGGCCGGCTGGCCAGGCGCCCTGGCCTTCTCGGGCGCGCCGCCGCGAGCCCATAGAGCCCTTTTGGGCAACAGGTAGGGACTGCGAGGTGGGGACGCGGGGGCTGCTCGAGGAGGGCCTTAGCCACCGGCGCCCCCTTGCTGGGGAGTAGGAGCTTGGTGACCACTGGCGCGAGAGCCCCAGGCCGGCAGTGGGCCCGCGGCGTTGCCCCTGGCCTGCACGGGTCCCCTGGCTGGAGTGGGAGGGCAGAGGGGGTCTAGCTTCTTTTCCTTACCCGCCCACTGTGCCCACTGTGGGAGGGGAGGTCAGAACGTCCATGTGCTTAACGGGAAACAGGAAGGAGTGGCTCTGAGTGTTTGACCCCCTCCTCCCCCAAGGCTAAGGCTCCTATACCGTTACGGGGTGTGTAGCTGGGATGGGGGAAGCTGCTGGCGAAACTGGTTTTCTTGGCCACAGCCTGCCAAGTACTGGCCCAGAGCCTCTCTGGCAAGTAGGTTAATTGCAGGTGTGCGGCACTGATCTCGGGCCTCAGCTCGGGGGTTTTTCTCTCCCCCTATGCCAGGCTCCTGGCCTCAAGACTTGGTCTCAGTAACCTGAGTTGCTAGGCTGAGGAATTGGGGTTCTGAGGATCCTGAAGAATGGAGTGAGCCCCTCTTCCCAGAGAACTGAATCAGGGAAGGCCTCTGGCAGGCAGTCACCACTACATCTGTGTTGGAGGGTCACTGTCCCATACCAGAATCAGGTGACTGGGCTTGAATGTGGTGGCCAACTGCCCATGTGATGGGGAGCCTCAGGGTAAGAACTAGTCTGCAGCCTCATCCCTAAGGGCCTGACTCTAATCATACAGTGACCTGGACAGACTCTGTTCCAAAGAGAGAGTTCCTGGTCTCCCTTGGTACCCCACAATCCACTCCCTTCACTGGAGCCTCTGGCCAGGTTTCCCCCTGGGAGGAAGGGCCTCTCCTTCTCCTCCGCACAGCCTTGCAACACCACCCCCATCTGCCTTGTGGGTTGCTCCCTACCCCTGGGGGCTATTGTCAAATGCAGTATTTGGGTGTGTTGGGGCCTCTGATGGAGCAGCCCAGACAAACTAAATTTAGGGACCTACACTTCAGTCTGGAGAATTACACACATCTTGGCTTCATCCATTGCTCACAGCTTTTTAGTTCATGACCTGCTGTTGCTGCCTGAAAAGAAAGTTTTTAACAAGGAAGACTATTCAAGATCCTCTTCCACTTTTTTGTAGTCCCTCAGGCTTTAGTGGAAACCAGGAATCTCTGGGACCCTCTCCTTGTTACTCTCTCCTGCTCTGATCCATTTTAATTTTCCTCAGTTATTTCTCCAAGCTCTGAGAGCCAGCGGGACTGTTGTAAGTCTGTGAGATACCTTTCTTAGAAACTTCTGCCCTCTCAGCCGCTGGGTCTCCAGGCTCCCGTGAAGACCTTTACCCTCTTTCATCTATCTACTAGAGTCTGGGAGGGGTCAGTCAGAGTTGGGGCAAACTAAGTGGAAACGGAATCCAATGCCCATGAAATCCCCGCTTTGCTGGCCCCCCTTCCAGCCTGTCTCCGAAAGTGGCGCGCGCGTGCGCACACACACACACACACTCTCTCTCTCTC